CAGGGTGTGCTCCTAAGATCTAGGAAGTCTATACTTTAATCTGGGTCTGAAGTGGTTCCAAAGTGTCTAACCTCAGTTAAGTGTCCTTTCAACTAACCCTTAAACATCTTTAGATTAAGCTTAGCTCATCATCAGGCTCCTAAAACCTAAAGGGTAAACTTATAGCTTTGGCAAAAGGGTTGTGAAGTGTGCTTCAAACCTAGTTAGGGTAGTTGGATTTAAGTTGATTCAAAGCTTAAGGGACCTAAATGTAAGTCTAATGATCTTTTAATCCATGTCCCTAATTGTTACCTAAACTCTCACTTTCTTCGAACCCCCAAATATTCTTCCAATTTACAGTTTTATCTTTCATATACAAAAAGAAACGGTAGATGGTTCACTATTCTATTCCCTTTTAGGTTTTATCGTCTCGAAGATAAAAATCTTATCTTTAATTTTCTCTCTCTTTCTTTTTCCCTCATATTTCCCTTAAGATTATGAATCATTTTTTAATATAATTAAATCGAAAATTCTCATTTTTAACTTAACCGTTAAATAAAATAAAATAAACGAAAAGGAGACCGATCCATTTTTAAAACAAAGTTGAATCAATAAAGATTAAAACGAAATCATGAATGTATCGGTCTAAAACGTTTAAATTCGTTAAAAGGAAATGGTCGGATCAAGGAAATGGTCGGATCAATTAAAAGGAAATGGTCGGATCAATCCCGAGAAGGATATCTTTTCCAAATGTCAATATTGCATATTTCTAAACCCCTCATGAATTCAATTTATATCAAATTTATAATTTCTTGAAATAAAGTTTCAAAAACTTTTCATCTGTCACAAAGCAAAAGAGAATAATTCATAGGGAAAGTTCCCAAATTTTCAACCGCCCTCCCCATACCAATTCCATTCAGCTCACAAACAACCTCACACGTAAAACTAGGGAGAGGAGCAAAAACAGTCACCAAACCGTGGCCAAGAAAATGGGCAAATTGAGTCCAGCAAATGAACAGAACCGAATCCAGCGAAAGGGAGTAAAAAAAACAGAGAAATATTTCAGGTAAATCGAACTCACTAAATGAGTCAAAACAAAGCCATAAAAATCAGATTCCATGAAGCCAAAACCGAGCCCAAGAAAAGGGCAAACCTAGTCCAATACATGGGGCAAAATAAAAAGTGTGAAATGAGCCCCCAAACATATCTTTCCATAGACATAAAACAATTTTCGGCATATACTCTAGTAAGAGGCAGCAAGAGAAGCATGAAATGAACCCCAAACACATTTTTCCAACTCATAAAATAATTTACAGCATGTATTTTATTAAGGGACAGCAAGAAAAGCAATATATGAGCTCCAAATACATTTTCCAGCTCATAAACATAATTTCTTGCATGTATTTTATCAAGGGACAGCAAGAGAAGCAATATATTAGCTCCAAATACATTTTTTAGCTCATAAACATAATTTCATGCATGTATTTAATCAAGGGACAGCAAGAGAAGCAATATATGAGCTCCACATACATTTTTCATCTCATAAACATAATTTCCTGCATGTATTTTATCAAGGGGCAACAAGAGGAACGAAACATAAGCCCCAAATGCATCTTTTCCAATACATAAAATAATTTTCAACATGCAGTTCTTACTTTCAAACATTTCAAGCAACGAAGGTAATAGAGGCAGTCCCCAAATATGTTTTTCCATATATATTTCTAAAAGAATAAAATGCATTCCAAGACCACCCAACGATTTCAGATTTTTGCAAATTGAGTACTAACGGTCTCTGAATTTTACAAATTAACCACTGAAAGTTCCATATCTTTTTGCAAATCGGACACCAAAGGTACAAGTATTGAACATCAACAAAAGAGTACTTTAAATCCCATAAGAAAAGTGTCCTTGAAAATTTTAGAAAATACAAATCTTGGAAGAATTTTATCAAAACTCATGTGCTAAATTTGTAGGTATATAAGAATTGCATGGCATGCATGTAAATGATTAAAATTCAAATGAAAGAAGTGTAAAAGCATAGGAATTACGTGACATGCATCAAGAGTTCTCCAAAACAAACTAGCAAGACTCCCGAATTCCAAGCAGTAACTTTCAAATCTTCACATAAGAGAGGGTATCACACTTCTCATATTTTTGCAAGTTCATAGTTATGAAAAGAATAAGAAGAAGAGCTCCCATGATACGAAATTTGTCATAACCAAACTGCCAAAGAAGAGGAAAATTATAAGGAGCTTACCTCAACTGACCACTAAATCAGAAATGATGAAAGCAAGAAAACCCAAAACAAAAGTTCCAGAAAGGAAGTAAGCTCCACCGAAACTTCAGCCTTGAAAGTTCCCCACAGCATTTCCAAGAAGGTCTCAAACACACAGGTAATGAACAAATCAAAGAAAATTTTAAGAGAAAATTTCGGCAGCACCTCCACTCTCTTCAAAATTTTCGGCCAAACTCAAAACCCTCCCCAAGTGGGGTTTTTATAGCAGAGAAAGGAGCAAAGCAACCACCTACCAGCCTCCTTGGTCAGCAAATCAGGTAAAGGGAGAGGATGAGAATGATTTAAGGCAAGAGGAAATGCAGCCTAGGGTAGAGGAAGAGTCGGCCAGGTGGAACTTCGCAGTTGGATGACTGCTCGGTCGAGCAGAGCTCGAGGAGACGAGCCGCGTGCGCGAAAGGCAGCGGAATGCCGTGTGTGAGGAGAAGAAGGCGAGCCATGGCGCCGCTTGATCGGCTTCGGTGCGGTCGATTGGAGGAGCTAGGGCACGGGCACGGACGAGAGGGAGATGAGACGAGCGCAAGACCGATCTAATGGAGAGTTTAATCGTGCGGGAGAAGGGAAAATAGAGATTAGGGTTTTATAAATATTATATAATTAAAAAAAATAAGTATGAAAATACTTAATTTTTAAAGTAAAAATTTAATTTGCACATTTTAATTTATGTGTGAAATCATTGCAAATTGGATGTCCTTTTTAGGTAATTCTGACGTTCTGGACGCACTGGCACGGTCCGTTTCGCCGTAGGAGGTCATTTTGACAAATTTATCGATTTGCATGTCAATTTTCTCGTCGAAAATATAACAATATGGGTGTCATTTCCTACCAAAATTGGTGTCCCGGACGCGTTGGCGCAGTCCAATTTATTGTCGAAGGTCATCCGGAGAAGCTCGCATTTTCACCCGTCCTTTAGGCTTAATTGAAGTCCGATTTCGTGCAATTCAATGAATTTTGTGCATTTGGTGTATGTATGTGACGAAAAGGTCATGACGATGTTTTCCTAAGGCTTGGAGTCCTATTAGGAACTTTTCCCTTGAGTCTTCACAAAATAGCCCATAACCGCTCGTTCATAAGACGATGGTCTTGTGCCAAAAATGCTAGATATCAAAGAAAAATAATAAGTGGTTAGAATTTCTAAAAGGGTAGGTCATAATTCTAGTTTTCTAAGACGATCAATAGGAACTCCTAGAGCTAGATCCTAGGATCCTAGAAAAAGAAATGACCTCAAAAATGAGGTCAACACTGTGACAGTTAAATTTTGATGGACCTTTCTTTGGCATTTAAGCCTCGCCTTTAAAAAATAAATCAGCAGAACAAACTCATGGCTATCAAAGCACCCCAAATTTTATCTACTCAAAGACAACAAATTTGGTAAATCAAAGGCTACTTAGGTCTACCTAAAGAACACCAAACTAGACTTTAACTAATCTCATACCAAAGCTATTTAGTTGAAATAAACCAAAATCTAGCATAAAACAAAGGCTTATTTAGAGCTCCGTGCTCAAAGCAACTTGTGAAAACATCAAAATATTCTGTCATGCTTATGCTAATTTTTGTGGCAAAAGATTAACCCTTAAAGACTATCCTACGTCCAATGAGTGATATAAAAACGATAACATAATAAAAGAGTGCCACAACAAACGACATAAACATAAAACCAAAATCCAACATGCTAAGACATCCACCCCATAGAGTAAACTAAGGTTCATTCTTCTAAAATCAAATCATTTATGCTAGAACTAAGCTATTGTTGGTCATATTTATGAACCACAATTAATCATGCCTCATACCTTTTAGCAGTTCAGTCAAAATGGTAATGTAAATCTTTTCATAGTGAAAAGAACAAGAATTCCACCATGAGTGGCCCTATGATCCTATCCATGGTCTATTGGACTAAGGTCCACAACTAAAATTTAGTCAAGGCACCACGTAGACAAAAAGTTGAGCTAGTCTGAGGTTGCTTATTAAACCAATCAAATTCCAACATCTCTCGAAGTCAAACTAAAAACAATTTATGGTCATGACATGACCATGAGCCCTTAATGGTCATGTATAGCATTTTTGTCCCATGAGCCCTTTGAAAACCATTCAATCAAATCGGTATGAGAAACCCCATGGCAGTGAACAAGTAGCGTCAACGTCGAAATTACATCTTGTACAAACACTTCTAAATCGATTTACTTGGGATACTTGAGAGGAGGGAAACTACGGTTAATCAAGCTCAATAAACAATACAACTCAAAAGTCCTCTAATATTGGCAAATTGAATCAACTAGAAAACATAGAATAACAAAATCATGGGATCTTGGTTTAATCTACCTCCATATTTCCAACCATCACCCATTTAACCAAATTTAAGCCTAAATGTTCTAGCCTAAGATACATTCTTAATTCAGAGTATCCTCCAGGGCTATTAACTATATGAGTTTACGCCTATAGACAGTCTGAATCTTATATCTAAATAAACTGTGATCTATATAATAATATGGGAAATTTAATTAACTGTATTCAATCTACCTAAAGAAAACCAACCCTCAAGTTATTCTACACTAGGAAGGCTTAAAGGGGCAGCTTTTCCAAAGCAGTTAACGCAGTATGCTAAATCACTCATTAACATGATTTCTGTTATCCAAAACAGCTATAATGTTATACTAGAAATTAAAGGGGTCAAATGCAAACAACACATTCAAATCATTAATGTGCCGAGAGAAATTTGAATAATGCTAACCACAAGCCGGGTTTGGCGAACCAACATGACCAACTAAGGTGTCATCCTCATCCATATTACTTATTACACAAGATGTCTCTGTCATCCCATAGCCTTCGATGATACGGCCCCCAAAGCATCTGCATGAATTTGCAAAAATAAGAGTTGTTGTAAGACAAGATGTCCTATAATAACACTTCACAAAAAATAAGCCAAACATAAAAGAGGTTCAAAGTGTATACATTTTAAGAAATTCCAAAACATCTGGAGATAATGGTGAGGCCCCTGAACACATTAATCGAATCTGGCCTCCAAGTTTGTCCTTAATTTTGTTGAATACCAATCTATCCCAGATTGGAGATGGTTTTTTCCCTGAGAAAATTGCATAAAATAACCAATTATTAAAATATAATATAAATGATTCTTTAAGAAATTGATAACATAATTAAAAAAACATGGTTTTTTTCCTTTTTTTAAACAAAAGGAAAACTATGTATAAAACAAACAAAATCACTTTTTCATGCGCAATTAGTCAATAGAATATGTAATAAATTGAACATCCTCCATAAATTTCTTTCAATCCCGCTACACAGATAAATATTCGTCAAAGAAAAAATACATGAATAAAAAAAATCCAAAAATCAAGTAGTATCCTATTCACGAAGAAGAAAACTATCCACTGTCACAAAATATCATGTCAAAGATGTACTTTGGAGGCCTCACGGAATATGGACGAAAAACAAAAGATGCTAAATATTTAGATGGGAAAATTTTGTATTAAGATATCTAGAATAAATATTGATTAGGATAGCTCTAAAAGCAAATGAATTTGCCTTGAACTTAGTGTAATATATAGGTAATCAATTAAAATTTTTATTGCACTTATCAAAGCAGCATCAATGAATTTGAAAACCATCCTGACAAAAAAAACTTGATTTCTTGTTCTCATTTTTTTTCCTATTTGACTGCATCATAATAACTAGATCAATGGAAAAATATGAGAACTATGTTAACATAGTTCACAAACAAAACATAGACAATTCAAAATAAGTAGATTAAAAAAATAGAAAAAAAAGGAAAATACTAGCCTAGAATGAGCAACTAATATGGTAAACTGCTATACCTCATCTTTCACAAAATGGAACATGTGATTTGGAAAATTTGAAATGGTAACCAATTACTATCTTTAATTTTTGAATAGGATATGCAATGAATGTCAACATAATACAAAAAGAATGCCTAAATAAAGCACATTTTTCAAGGCAACTCCCCCAGTACTCCGAACACAGAACTCGTCATCTTTTTATTCATACAACTTGGTTAATTTTTATTATATGGCCTTCCAAGGAAATGTCATTTTCCGACGTCACGGACGTGCTTCCTAGGATACATTGTTTGAGCAATTGGCATTGAAATAGATCCAATTAGTATAGAGCCAATTGTGAACTGGCTCAAACCATAATCATTTACTTAGGTGCATCAGTTTCATGAGTTGACTTCAATTTACAGAACGTTCGTCAAAAAATTTTCACTCATCGCTAATTTGCCAATCAAGCTTCTCAAGACATACATGTTTTCATGATCAAATGAGGCGCAGGGTAGTTTTGATGCATAGAACCAGCTAGAATCTCAAATTTCCTTCATAGCTCACCAAATTTCAGTAACAATTTTGACCACGCCATCTACTCTCCCAACAAGATCATCAGATGGTCGATATTTAATTCGACCAAATCATCTAAGATGAGTCTCTCTAATCTTGTCACCACTGAAGCTACACCAACCCTTTCACAAATATAATCATTTCGTTTCTCTAAGTGTAAAGCCACCTAAGTGTAAAGCCACTCATCCATCTAGGCATTCTCATCTCAATAATACTTAAATTAATTTTATGTTTCTCTCGTATATACAAACATTATGTAACATAAAGCAGCACAGGTCTCACCACCATCTTATAAAATTTTTCTTTAAGTCTAACAGGTACCTTTTTATCACAAAAAAGACCTAATGCATTCCTTAATCAACGTCACTCATCCACCATCACTTTGAATAATAGAACCAACATATCTAAAACGTTCAATCCTTTTAATTACTTGATCACTCATTGTTATAACGCCACCACTAAATTTACTACAACTAAAATTACATTCCATATATTCAGTTTTAGATCTACTCAAACAAAAGCCTTTAGACTCTAAAGTTAACCTCCATAATTCAAACCTCCATAATTACCTCCATAATTCAAGTTTTTCGTAACTCTTACTCTAATCTTATCCACGAGAAGGATATCATCAGCGAAAAGCATACACACAAATACATCCTCCTAATGTCCATTAAAGACATTCATAACTAAAGCAAAAAGATATGGGCTTAAAGTCAATTCATGATCCAACAAAAATAAGAAAATATTTGGTCAATCCACCCTCTGTTTGAACACAAGTAACACTTCTAGTATACATATCTTTAATAAATTGAATACAAGTCAAAACAACACATTTCTTTTCCATAACTGGCAAAATTACTTCTCTTCGAACCTTATCATAAGCTATTTCTAAATCAACAAAAATGATATGTAGATCCTCCTTACTCTCTTTGTACTTCTCTATTAAACCTCTTAATTAATGTATAGCTTCCACAATTGACTTGTCCTGCATATATCCAAACTAATTTATGATATATTTTTACCACTTCATAACCTATGTTCAATTACTCTCTCTCAAAATTTTAACGTATGAAACAATAACTTATATCCTCTATAATTTGAATGATCATGTGCATCCTCTTCATTCTTAAAAATAAGGATCAAAATACTCTCACTCCACTTCTCAGCCATCTTTTTAGTTTTTAACATAATATATAAAAATTTAGTAAGCCAAAATTTTCCAAATCTCCTACAGATTTATGCACTTCTATTGGAATACCATAGGGTCCTACTGATTATTCACCCTTCATTTTCTTTAAAACTTAAAAAAATTTATTATTAACGATATTAAGATTAAGTTGTTGCTGATTTTCATCGTTCGACCGTCTGTTCTCATTTTGGTTAATTTCAAACCCTACGTCAAGTCGTGACAGCCAGAACCATACTTCCAACCCTCCTGCCTCACAACCATAGCAAAACTGACTTTTAACTATTGTCTAGCCGCCATCCACCACCCTCGTCCTAGCCCCTATGATGCGGGGCTGCTTGAGGAGGATGGCCAAACTGGCCTATAGCTTGGGTCGGTCCAGCCTTCTGTTGGACCAGTCGGCCCTCCTGAGGACGCTGGAATTACTACCCCCCCTACTCCCACCCTTTTGTTCATTTTCCCTCCAATTCTTTCTTTCCTTTTCCCATTAATCACCTATTATAAGTCATTGCCTAATTATTTCTTCCCTTTTTAATTTCTTTCTTATCTTACAACATTATTTATTTTAATTCATAATCACTATTATATATATGTGAGAGTTTTGCTCAAGGAATTCAATTTTAATATTATTCTGAGTTCAAATTCTTTTGGGGATGTATCCGAGGAGGTGGAGCTTCAACTATATCCTAATCTGAGGTGTTGTATCTACTTCCATTTCCGGTTCAGCCCTCCCTCCACCCTCCTTCTCAGCCGCCAGCCTCCCACCACCGCCACCACCCATACAACATCCCAGCCTGCTGTCCGACCATTTTTGTCGTTTTTCGGTCATCCCCGCTAGTTCTCCAGCTAGCCATTTTGCAGTCCAGCCTTCCTACTTGCTGCCCCTTCTTACCACCCACTGTCCACCCTTTCCAACTATTGTCCGGCCGCCCCAAACTATTGTTTCACCTCCCCAGACCTGTCATTCAGCAACCAGAACCTGCCATCCAGCCTACCTACCACTCCAGTAGGCCGCCACCTTATTGTTGCCCAACAGGACTACCCTTTTCACGGTTGTGTTGCACATCGACCACCTTCTAGCACCCCTCCCGACTCGTCCCAGCAACTGCCTGGCTCTCCAAGCAGCCGCTCTAGCAGGCCATCTGGCCCCTTGCAGTAGGTTGTCCCTTCCCCTCCGGTTGTGTCTTCCAACCAGGAGCAGTCCTCCTTACCCTTGTCTGCGCCGCCACCATCGGCTGCTCCGTCCTTTCTAATAACCACCAGCATCAGCTTCTGTTGTCAACCCTTCTTCTGGACACCACCCACATCCGTTAGCCTCCCCGACGCCTCCACCACCTGCTGCCGCTTTTCTTGTCACCAGCAAGCCCAAATTCGCAACCAACATTTACGGATACTCGCTCTAGGCCTACCACAGATTGTGCTAGTCTTGTTTCTTGTTTGTTTCTTCGTTTGTTCCACTGTCATGCTGAACTTTGCTTGTACTTTGATTGCGTGATTAATAATATTTTTTTTATCATTGTCGCGGGTTATGTTAACTCTGGTATCTACCTATGGTGCCTTTTTATGTTTGTAGTCATCAATGTTCTGTTTGAAGGCCACCATTATAACATTTTTGAATTTCAACAATAATATTTTTGTATCGGTTGTGGTTTAGGTTAACTCCAGTGTCAGTTAGTATCTGAGCTAGCCTAACTTCAACCATATCATAGGATTTCCAAGCATTCGACCCTACTCAAGATACCTCCAAAAATTTTCTTTCCTACTCCCAAACCGTGAACAAATTTTGACCTAACCTTAATTTTCTTTCCTCCACCAAAAATTAGCAACCCCAAATTTATTTTCCTACACCTTCAATTAGCCACACACTCTCATTCACCTCCCAACCCTAAACTCTAGCGAGATACATGCTTGAGCCTACCTGGAAAAAGATGCATTGAAAGATCCATCGACTTCGGTGGAGGCTTACGGACATGGAGGACATGGAGGATGAAACCTAAAGGAAAATAACCCTCGATCATGGAAGGAAAAGTTGACGGGGCGAAAGTGACGAGAATTTCAACCACTTCCCGACGACTTCATCGAATAAAAGTGGATCTACCAGTGATGAAGAATAAAGGCCACGACACTTTGGAATCCAGTATCAGAGGACGCTACATAAAGAGGACATAGGGACTTCGAATAAAAGTGGATCTACCAGAGTTCGATAGAGGAATGGATCCCGACGACTTCATCGAATGGCTAAAGTCATTTGAGAAAATCTTCGAGTACAAAAATATATCAGAAGATAAAAGGGTAAAACTAGCAACCATCAAATTTAGAAAGAGTGGCTCTAAGACGTGAAAACTTGCAGAGGCAGAGAAAGAGAGAAGTGACAAAATTACCAAGTGAGAAAAGATAAAGAAGGAGATGTAGAGATATTGCCTACCACGTTACTACCGTCATAAGCTTTTTCTGACACTCCACCACATGCAGCAGAGAAACCTATCAGTGGAGGAGTTCACGACGCAGTTTGATCAGTTGCAAATG